AATGCCTTTTGTATATTTCTAGCGTTATCGCCAATAAGTACAAGAAACTTATTTGCTCCATACACTTTCATTACTTTTTCAACTTCTTGGCTAAGGTATTCACTAGTGTGAGGATTACTTTCTGTATTCAAACTTTTAACGTATGCAGGTTGAGGTTTTGATATAAGAAAGTTTATTATTCCTTCATTTCTTAAATTAGACCAGCCATCGCACTGAAGGTGTAAGTAACTACAAGCATTTAGTTCCTCATTTAACTCAAAACGCATTTCTCTATATATTTTATCTAAGTATTTTGTCGCTAAAGCTTTACGTGAAGGTATTTTAAATTTTGGTTGCAATTTTTCGAAAAATTGTATCCATAAAGGATGTTGCACCATCGATAATGGCGTCCCTGTTACAAATATAGCTCTCGCTAATTCTGTTTTTATATGATCATCGGTGTCTTGAAACTCAGCATTTATTGTAGTGTTAGCAGACGACGAGGGGCTTATAAAAGAATCATTTGTCTCTATCTCTGACAGTCCAGACATTTTGGTTTTGGACGAGCTATCTTTTATAAGTTTCATAGAGTCTTTTAATGTTTCTGGAGATTTTGGACAAGTGATAAGATGTTGAAGCATTTTGGCAGCATTACTGAATTTGTAGACCTTATTACAAAGCTTGCAAGAAACAGACTTGTTTGGTAAAGTACGGTAGTGCTCCCATATGCGTAAATCTTTAGGTCTCCCCATTGAACCTAAAAAAATGAACGATGATTAGTTGGTCTGACGAAAATTCAACAATAGAGTGCCTATTTTTTTACAATGATTATTTCTTGTTATTTACAATAAATTTATTAAAAAAATAATAAAATAAATACAAAAAACCTTTATAAAATTACATCTCCTCGGAGGATTAAACGCAGACGCTAGTTTATTATCGTATTGTTCTGTATTTTTCTCAGCAACTTCTTTAATTCGATTAGGTACTTACGCATATTATGTTAAAAATAAATATCTAGTACACATCTTAGGCTATCCACCATTATTATCCAATGACGACTCTCAGCTAACTATGCACTATCATCCAAAATAAACGTGTATGGAAAATTTTATCCCAGTCGGTTGAGGATTGAGGATAATTGCATCAACATACGAACATACCTACATACTTTTATTTACATAACGCAAGCTAAATAAAAGCTTGTAATAATACATCTAATTTTAAGTTAAAATTGTTAAGTGATCATGATATAATTGTATCATTCAAAAATCCACTTACCTTTAATTATTTCTTGTTAAGTATAAATATTATTTCAAATCTGCTCCCTTAATATGCACTTTTTTACTGCTTTTCCTACCTAACACGTTACCAGGAAGTCACGTTACCAGAGTCAGAGTAATAGTGAACACGTTTGACAGTGATTGTCGTCGCCTCATATTCAGCGTCGACGAATAGGGGAATCCCCAGTCATAATGTATTGCATGCGTGGCGGTCTTACTTCAAATCCATAAACAAAGAGATAATTACAGAACTCGATACTAGATGGCGCTGTTTTTGTTTGAAGAAAGTTTGCGGGCTAAAATACATAGAATTTCATCAATGACTTCCACAAAGAACAACATTTCTGTTTTTTCTAAGTCCGTATCTCTTCCGTATATTTCATAAGATATAAGCTTGGGCTACATTGTTATGCAACGTGATTTTGTCGCTGTCTTGCTAGCAGGGTTGACAGATATACGATTTAAATCGTACTCATACTATTATTTGTCTATTTTTTAATGTACGATCGTAAAGATTATGATCGTAATTCGCACAAAAACATACGACTTTTTGGTTACCTGGCAACATTTTTATTATGAAACGAACATGCTCACATCATCAGTCACATGCAACAATTTATTGGGGATTTCCCCTTCACATCTGGCAGTCCTGCTTGCTAGAATATAGGTAAGTCAGCCACAGTTACTGACGATCGATATTTAAAGGGTATTGTTTTTGTGCTAAATATTTCATAAAAACGTTATTTAATACTTTGTGGATTATTAATTTAGTTGATAATCACTGGAAGTAAAATGGATGCTAATTTGAGAGATCAAGATCTTCGTATAAAACAGTTAATAAAAGAAAATCTACGTAAGTACTCTTTTTATACCTAGGTAGGTAAGGTATAATAAACACAAAAGGTACTTAGATCGCGTGTGTTCGAAGCATTTATTCTAATAAATTTAATTTAAAATTGTAGAAAGAAAAAAATGTCTGCCAAGCCGTAGCCGAAGCCGATCTCCAAATATATTTGGCGATAGTGAGACCCAGTGTCCAGATGATTTACCCAGCGTCGTCGCAACAAAGAAAAAAACGAGGATAAAGTAAAAGAAAATTTACTGAAAGAAGAAACAAACTGTTCTAAATGCTTAATTTATGGAGAAGAGGATAAAAGAAATGAGTATTTCGGACTGTTAGTGGCTCAAGAATTTAAATATATACGGCCATGTGTGCGAACGAGGTGTTATGAAGAAATTTTAAAGTATCTACGGGAAGCAAAAGGCCAACATGTTGATCAACTGCAACATGAAAACACTGAAAATTAATTACTTTCATTTTATTATATATAGATTTTTAAAATTTCCTGAAATATTATTAGTTAACGTTTTATTTAATATTGTAGAATTGATCAATACAATTTATAAAAATAATTTATTGGTATTACTTACATATTTTCAAAAAAATACGTAAGAACCTATTTTTTTGGGTGATTATGGGAGTTTATGGGTGTTTATTGGGTTTTTACCAAAGCACCGGGTTTAAACCCGGTGCTTTGCCCATCTGTACTGACAAGTTATTCTGACAATTTGATTCAACTCTTTTTTTTTATCTTTTTTATTTAGAGGCTTTTATCCTATAAAGATATGTCAGCCTCATCATACCCTAATTTTATAAAATATGTCACATACTTAAAACATTGATACATAAATAAATAATACATAATAGCTTAGTAGTGTATTATTTAACTCTTAATGCGCGCCAAATTTAAATTAATGAATGTCAAACGACTTTACATATCATATATCTCTAATATATATATTTCTAATTTTAATGTCAATTAAATAAAGAAACATACAGGACATATTCTTAGTACTTCTGTACCTTTATTGTATTACCCTGCACTCTAGTTTGGCTGGAAACTCCGGTCGAGAAATACTGGCACTCGAACGCTTTTGTTCGCTTTTATTTCAAATCGTCCCAAAAACAATATAATAAGCATAATAAGACTTATTTAGTACTAGCTTGTCCCCGCGACTTCGTCTGAGTGACAGTAATATGTTCACGGACCGGGATTTAAAAAAAGCTTATGACCTTTACCATTTTTATATACAACTTAGAATGGCAAACAAGCTGACGGCTCACCTGATGAAAAGTGGTAACCGTCGCCTATAGACATGAGCAGTACCATGGATATAACGGAGTATACTGTTTCGACCATGATACCCCCATGCGTTGACATTTCTGAGGACTCAGATGTTATTTCTCTGTACGCTATAAATTCACGCCATATCCCACACACACAGTCACAGCCATGCAAACACAACTGCTTCACGGTAGAAACACGAATGGGACAGAGGTACTCAAGCAAACGACTTTTGTACAAAGTCTCCCTCTGGTATAGTTAGTTTGATATAGTTGTAGATATTAAAGTTTTAAATTATTTACATAAACGCATATTATTCTATCTGTTTTTGACTACTCCTTCATTCATTATGGCGAGCATATTTTTTGGGACGTCTTTAGGAATATGTTTCAGTTCAGTAGGTCATTACTAGCAATACGCAAACTTTGTTTTCAAACTGAGGTATTTTGCATGAAAACATGTGGCATAGGATCGTTGTTCGGTGTGGAGCGAAGTACCTCTCATGAGCCCGATTCCACCTCGTTCTACGAGAAGACATCGCATTTGGCACTACAGGTCGGCAGATTGGGATGAGATGCGAATTTTTTGGCATCCTACCCATGAAGGCAGGTTTGCTTCACATTGGATGATCCCGATGCCATCGCCGAGACCATCACCGATGTGGTGCTTCAGGGAATGGAATTATTTATTAGGAATAGGTCCACAGGTCACAGAGTTAGGAACTCTGTGACCTGTGGTATCATGAAACTGTTCTGATGAATTATTCGGATTGATATTTGCTGCTGATTTTCACCACCGTACCACCTGCCCTAAACTAAAGTTTCATTCCAACCATCTGGACGAGTGTCGGACTTCCACCAAGCGTTTTTTGAGGCACTTTTTTTCAAGCACAACTATTCCTAAGAATCAACTTCCAGCAGCAGTATTTCTGAACAGATACGACATCATAACCTTTAAGAAAAGAGCTTATTCTTTTTTAAAAAGCCGACACCACAGCTGCAATGCCGTTGGTGTTGTGGGTGATCATGGGCGGCGGTAGTCACTTACCGTCAGGTGAGTCATTTGTCCCCTGTGTTGTAAAAAAAAAAAGATTTTCGGACGCTGCGCTTAAGTAAATAAAAGAAATAAATAAATAAATTGGTGAAGATTCTAATTATTTGTAGATCTCGACCGGTGCGTTCTTGAATGACATTGGTACTGAACCAATAACATGCGATAAATTGCTACATAACATGCACACCCGGGTACTTACTCCAATAAATTCAGTGCCATTTAAAGGCGGGTGGAATATTGTAGGGAAACTACAAAATACTAAGGCATAATACCTTAGTCCTTAGGAATTGTACCGTAAGCATCAGTATATCCTGATATATCCATAGTACTGCTTATATCTGTAGGCGATGGTCTATTTTTAAACAATTTGGAAATTTGTAAGACAATGAAAATTTATGGATGCACTAATTTAATCAGACGACATATATGTCTAATCTAAATGCGCTGATAACCTGACAATGTATCTAAATTAAACGTAAAATGTTAATCCAAGTGATTAAACAAAGATTGATATCCTAAATTAGTATATATAAATAACCATCATGGACACGGCTGTTATCAAACTCGTACTATTTTGTGTGCAAAAATGAAACTCCTGCTGCTGGTCGCGCTGGTGGGCTCGGTGCTGGCCGAGGAGCCGATCGGGCTCTACTACCACGAGAACGTGGGCATCCCTCTGGCGGCCGCCATCAAGAGGAGCGAGGAGGCGGGCGACTTCGATGGATCCAGGATCGTCGGCGGATCGGCCGCATCCCTCGGCGACCACCCTCACTTGGTGAGTGCTCACAGATTCCTGAGGTGTTGGTATGATTTTCACTTTTTAAACCGAGTCTTATTGGCTCGTAATAAAACTCCAATATTTGGTCTTTTTTCAATTAATATTACAAGTTAATAATTTGACTAGAGTGTATCCAATAGTTTACAAGAACCTAAAGACATACATGACTACAATATTTAGTATATGATGTAAATTGTCAATAATATGTAAAGATATAATCGGGTATTTGTGACTCTATCATCTCGGTACAGAGGCATTATCCTTAGTTCTCAGGAAGCGAAAAATATGAGAGCTACTATGGGCGTCATCGTTTATTCAGTAATATTCATGGTTTAGTTAAGTTAGTAAGGCAATCGTTTTTCATCAGATGGGCTATTAGATATTTTCCCATTTTAACTTTTATAAAAATATATAAATTTCAATTTGTCAATGGAAATATACTCTTAATTGACCGTAATAAAAAAGAATTAAATATGTCAATTAATTTATATCTTCGTGTAAATTCTGTAACAAAAAGTACAGGTACTTTTGATTAAATTAAAATGTAACCAAAAGACTTATTTTCTAATTTATAGGGTGGATTATTGATCACTCTGCAATCCGGCGGTACCTCTGTGTGCGGTTCCTCTCTCCTCTCCAACACCAGAGCAGTCACCGCCGCCCACTGCTGGTTCGACGGCCGTCAGAACGCGAGACAGTTGACCATCGTGCTGGGCTCCCTCCGCCTGTTCTCCGGCGGTACCCGCATCACAACCTCCTCCGTCTCCGTTCACGCCAACTACAGTCCCAACAACTTGAACAACGACATCGCCATCATCAACCTGAGCTGGGTTACCTACAGCAGTTAGTATTTGTTAGCAAATAACAATTATATTAACCTAACTATTGTTCGGATTCGAGTACACTACATCATAATATACAGGTAGTTCCTTTAAAAAAATAACATTAACAGTTTAAAAGTTCAATTCCGGTAAAACTACTCATTCGTACAGTGAGCTCTTAATTTAGAAATACAAAAAGAAGAGGATTTTGTCCAATAATTTGGCCTTTATTTTCTATTCATTGTAATTCTTGAATGAAATTAAAAGAGAGTATAACTTTATCTACAGATTAATTACCGAAATGATTTCTTTTATTCTATTGCCAGTATTTAGAGTTTAAAATAATGATATTTGCTCACAGACAACATCCAACCGGTCAGGCTGCCCACTGGCTTGACCAACAACAACTTCGTAGGCAGTTGGGCTTGGGCGGCTGGTTTCGGACGCACATCTGACAGTAAGGACATATTTCAAATTATGTACTAATATCAAAGAATTAAGTTTCCTGAATATCCATTACAAATCTTTTAAACTTGATAAGTTTAGATTACTGAACTACAAGTTAGCTTATTTTTTATGCCTTTTAATACCATTTTGAAAGGTAGTTTATATTATTATGCAAAAACTTTACACTTTATCGATTATTTTCAGGCACTGGAATCTCCAACAACCAGTTCTTGAGCCACGTGCAGCTGCAGGTCATCACCAACGCGGTGTGCGCCTCCACCTACGGCACCAGCGTCGTGGTCAGCTCCACGCTGTGTGTGAGCGGCGCTGGCGGACGCAGCACCTGCGGCGGTGACTCTGGCGGTCCTCTGTGGCTGTGGAACAACAACGAGCGCACACTGGTCTGTATACCCTTCCTTCATCCTGTTTCAGTTACATAGAGTCGAGTCTTCTCACTTTTTGCATTTTTGAAAAACTTTATTTAAGTAGATACAAGAATTCTTTTAAATTGGAATTTTTTGTGACTTTACATTGTAATTTGGAAAGTTATCTGTTAAGAAGAAACTACAATAAAAGCAGCTGTTACCGTTACAAATCCTTTTTGCTCAACTTTGTTGATTCCACTGGGTGGGTTTGGCCAATGTCTGTTTTAAGATTTAATCATTAGACCAACTTTTGTTTTTAATAAATGATTAATCTTTTCTAAAAACTTTATGAAAATTAAGTCAATATTATTAAATGAACCATCTGCTTGTCCAGTGTACCAAGAAATTTGTGATTGTTTTTAAATAATAAATTCTTATTACTAATCCACAGCTTTAACTAACACAAATGCTATTTTAGAAACTCGAATAAACTCTCGAAAATCTTAGTTTTCTATGTAAGAAAAATATGACGTTAATTTTTTTGTCCTTCCACAGATCGGTGTGGTGTCGTTCGGCTCGGCGTCCGGTTGCCAGCGTGGCTTCCCCGCCGGTTTCGCCCGTGTCACGTCCTTCCTGTCCTGGATCCAAGCTAGATTGTAAATGTGTCCGCCTATTTATGCTATTCATTTTATTGATTAAACATTAAAGTAATTACAGCGGTCTAAAAAGTGTTTTCAATTTATTTACCATTAAGAATGCAACAACCAATTGGAGTAATAATCAACATTACTACCATTATAACAGCTGTTAACTGCCCACTACTGAATGTAAGCCTTCCCCGACCTCGAGCCACTTGTATCCACTGATTTCTTGCAATGTCAAAGAATGTTGGTAGATTAGGATCAGGACGATACGATAGCCAGTGAGGGATCTGTGTTTAACAGTATACAGATAAAAAACAAATGATAAATGGTCTTGCATCCCAAATTTTGCGGCCATGTTACAGCTTTACTTTAGGACTTTGGTCAGTAATATAATTTATTTAACAGATATCAAGGTCATATTAAGGATTGCTGCATAACATTAATTAACGTTAACAAGTATACTTCGCTATTAAAACTATTTTGAAAAGAAGCACAAAGGGAATGTTCCTGATATAGTAGTCTATATATTTAAGAAAAATGATTTGATGTAGGTATTGGGGCAATAGAAGCCAAAGTTTGTGACAGCGTTACTGTTGCACGAAATTGATACGGTTTTCGCAGTTGTATTTCTGAATGTTAAGCTTGAAAACTAATATATTTTTTAATTGTATATACAATCTAAAGTAGGTGTAATCTATCTAAGTAGTAAAATCTCAAGTTATCCATCACAATAGACTAACTGACCTGCCTTTTCATTCTAGTCTGTAATTCATCACTAGTACCCCGCCAGCGTATATCAGACAGTGTTAGCGCAGGCAGGAACCATTCCATTATCATCCATTAACAACAATACTTCATTACATCAGTTAAAAAAAAAACATACAGTAATTTTTTTGTTATTAGTTATGTATTTGATAAATTTTTTGTTCTTTGTAAGCCCACTTTATTGGGCTTCTAATAAAACTGCATATATTTTTTTTTACAACACAGGGGGCAAACGAGCATGCGGCTCACCTGATGGTAAGTGACTACCGCCGCCCATGATCACCTACAACACCAGCGGCATTGCAGGTGTGCTGCCGGCCTTTTAAAAAGGAATATACTCTTTTCTTGAAGGTTATGTTGTCGTATCGGTTCGGAAATACTGCCGCTGGAAGTTGATTCCAAAGAATGGTTGTGCGTGGTCAGTATAAATGTGTTACTGTGTCCTCAGTCCATGACATCACCGCCCGCCGGCACCTGCGCCACCTGCAACTGCAAGTTACCACCAACTCCGCGTGCGCCGCCACCTACGGCGCCGATGTCGTCACCGACTCCACCCTCTGCGTGGGCAGTGATATTTTCAACAGTAGCACGTGCGACGGTGATTCCGGTGGTCCGATGTGGCTGTGGAATGGACGACAGCGCACTATGGTGTCGTGTCGTATCAAGAGTTAAAGAGACTCGCTGAACATCGTAGTGAGTGGCAAAAACTCAACCGACAAGAGCGCAGCTCTTAAATAGGAAAAAAAAAACAAAATATAAACGTATAAAATATACGTATAAACCTTCCTTTTGAATCACTCTATCTATTGATAAAAGCAGCATTAAAATCCGTTGCGTAGTTTAAAAGATCTAAGCGTACAGACGGCGAGAAGCGAGTTTGCTCTAAACTATATAGAGAAGTAAACATCTAAAGATAAATTCTTGTCTCCTCGGATCGGTGTTGCGTCGTTCTTCTCGGCGTCTGACTATCACCTAGCACAGCACCTATAGGATTTGTCCGGGTCACGTCCTTCCTGTCCTGGATCCAAGAGAAATTGTGAATGTATCTGTCGTTATTAAACTATAGAAATTTAAAGAATGTTTTTCATTTGTGTACCGTCGTTATATGTAATGCCACCAGAGAGAAGTTTTGTACAAAAATCGTTTGCTTGGTTACCTCTGTTTTGGCGAGGACCCAAAGAAATAACTCATATATATATAGTGTCATGTTAATTTTTTTAATGCAACTTAGAATGGCAAACAATCTGACACCCAACCTGATGGAAAGTGGTAACCGTCGCCTATAGACATGAGCAGTATCATGGACATAGCAGAGTATACTTTTTAGCCCATGATACCCCCTATGCGTTGCCTTTTCCTGAGGACTCAGATGTGATTCCTCTGCACCCCGTAAATTCACTGTCCTATTCCACCCTTCAAACCGAAACAGTCATGCAAACACAACTACTTCACAATAGAAACACGAATGGGACAGAGGTATCCAAGCAAAGGACTTTTATACAAAATTTCCCTATGGTGATTTTGTGAAGATAAATAAAATTTTATATGAAACGCTTTTTTTCAATACTGCTGAATCTGAATAGGGATTTATAAAGTGCAATGGAAGGTAGAAAATACATGCACAACGGGAATTTTATAAACTTAGGTACTGTTTTCGTAACTCGCATTGAAGTCTTCGGACAAACGCAGTGGACGGATAATGGCTGAAATGATGAGGATTTGAAGTCTTCACTAGCTCTGCGAGCTGCGACCCTCAGTGCGAGGTGAGACGCTGTGACGCAAATCGCCATACGCCCCCTGAAGATTACAAGATGAAGTTGAAACAATTGTCAGAGAAGACATATTATATGTAGTAAATTCACAAAATTCCTGTTGTGCATTTGTATGTAAAAATCGTTAAAAAATTAATAGAAATCAGAATAATAATGTCTATTATATAGCACACAGTGATTGTCTACCATCAGGCAAGCTGTATGCTTGCTTACCATCTTCGTGGCTTACAAATTTTTCTGTTTAGTTCGGAGGTGGGTACTTTGGGTTGTTCCAGATGCTGGTCGCCTGATTCTTTATAACTCACGTCATAGATGGCGATTTATTTAAATGTGTGACATTTATATATATTGTTTGTAGCACTTGAACAAAAGATACAGCGGTTAGTTTAACAACTTGTTAGCAAGGGAGGGCTTATCTCTAAAAGCCAGATCTCTTCTAGCCAACCCAGTGCAGTTAGAGAAAATAATTAATTGGCGGGTAACCTAGTGTAGGAAAGGTACAAGTAAAAATAATGTAAATAAAACAAACATACACAAATTATAAATAAATAAATTATTATACATATGTATAATATATATAATAGGGGGAAGAGATTGTTAGTAATGGAGACTGAGAATCCCATTGCTAGCAATATACCCAACCAAGCCGACCTCCTCGCGGTTCCCCCTGTAAACTATCATGGTTAATTCCTGATGAATTCATCATGATGGGCTAACTGGCCTGTTTTCATTCTCATCTATCATCCTTCACTGGTGCTCCGTCAGCGTATCCCGTTAGCGCAGGCGGGGTTACCATACCATTTTCACTCATCAAAAAAAAAAATATATATATATATATATATATATATATATATATATATATATATATATATATAAGATTTCAATCTTTTCTTGAAGGAAGTAATGGAGGGACTATACCGTATGTCAGCAGGTAGCCTGTTCCACAGTCGCGCAGCACAAGATGAGACACTTATATAAAATTGTAATACATATGGCGTACATGTGACACGTGCAGGAAGTCACGGCTGATGACTAGTATGTAGAGTCTTATCTGTAGGCACCCGTGTAAAGCTGGGTCGGATCAGCTAGCTAGTAATCCAATGCAACAATGACATATTATATCATTAAGCCACATACATAACTAGACTGATAATCTTATCAATTATGACACACCTATATTTATACAGGCTGTATCAAATGAACACATACAGGATGTCATCTAAATCATTGGCATTTTTTTCATCATCATTATACTCCTCCCTCATTAAGGGAGTTTTCCCAGTTGTTGCCACGCTTGGTAGGCGGATTCGTAACTGCAGTTAGCCGTTGATGGTGTGTTAAGAAGGACGCTGCTGCCCATCCCTCGCGCTCCCTTAGTCGCCTCTTACTACACCCACGAGAAAGGAAGAGGTAGCCTATCCTATACCGGGAACTCACGTATTCTTTTCCTACCAGTTAAACCGAATATTTTTTATTTTAAAAACTTTGGTTGTAAAATGACAAAACTCGAGCCTCCCGTGCTAAGTTTGATCGATTGATCGTTCTTTCCTTTCTATATTTGCTGGAAGAGAACTCATGAAGAGTTATACTCACCTTTGTACATTTAATTTAAAATAAACAAGCTGACGGCCCACCTGATGGAAAGTGGTAACCGTCGCCTATAGACATGAGCTTATTACATTACCAGAGGGAGACTTTGTACAAAAGTCGATTGCTTGGGTATCTCTGTCACATTCGTGTTTCTACTGTGAAGCAGTTATGTTTGCATGGCTATGTTTCGGTATAAAGGATGGGATATGGCGTGAATTTACAGAGTACAGAGGAATAACACCTGAATCCTCAAGAATGACAACGCATGGGCGTTATCATGGGCGAAGCAGTATACTCTGTTATGTCCATGGTACTGCTCATGTGTATAGGTGACGGTTACCACTTACCATCAGGTGGGCCGTCAGCCTGTTTGCCATTCTAAGTTGCATAAAAAAAAGACATGAGGGTTTCGTTTTTACCTTTGGAGGTATGGAACTTTAAAAATGAAGTATGCAGGTACTATTTTCCTGTAATCGCGTCACGTTAATCTCTACAGTGAATTTAAAATATATGTAAACTCGTAGTTAGTAGCTTTGCTATATTACAAATGAATAAGAAGAGTCCCAATATTGATCCCTGTGGAACTCCCTATGTAACATGTGTGAATATAGCACTTTTCTAAATTTCTAAATTAATATTTTGCTTAATAGCACAATTTAATTTGTATTCTAAACAATCTCTGTTAAATTTTATGCATTCATTTTTTCATAATTTCACATAAGTCATCTCAACTCATATTTCTGATATTGGATGGCAGACATTATACATTCAAAACCGCTGCTTCGTATAAATTCCAAGAACTTTTTTTATCGATCGCTATATTTAATCTGCACGACGCTGATAATCTGACAGAATATCTAAATGAATCTTTAAAAATGTTAATCTCATTGATTAAGACAAGATTGATGATTTGAACTGGTATATATAAAGGTCGACAGTAGAGCCGATTATTATCAT